TCACATTCTTTTAATCTCTTATAATTAACAGTCTTAAAATTAACAGGAAACATTTTATACATCAAATTCCTCTATTCATGAACATTATGTATAGGAACATTAGACATCTGTTTAGATTTTGCATCCATATAATTGTAGTCTTTTGTAAAAACTATGATTTTTAATGCTGCCCTAATAGCGTTTTTAATATCGAGTCCCGGTGTAGTGAAATAATAATAGTAAATTAAAACTCAAGCTAGTATAGAACAATATATTCTAGTATAGAAGCTAGTATAGAACAATATATAGTATAGAACAATATATTCAGAAAACTAATAAATGTATAACCTAAAGATACAATCATATTATTTTACATAAAAAACAGAATAATTATCAAATAACATCAGTAAGTAATAGGAATCAGCACCCTATCAGCAAAAATATAGCCGCAAGGTTTAAGTTTCTGATAAAAGTTTATTCTGAAACAGTAATTTGTCTGATACACGATCACCTAGTCAGGAGATAAAAAACTAGTTGCTCCAGCTAGCTTTTACTATTAAACATTAATGGTATTGATATGTTTATAACTAAACCAAGTTTGCTATCATGAAGTTAAATTTTTTTTTATTATATTGTGCTTTATAAGCACAAAATAAAGGTCTCTCATCATCAAGCGTGAGTGAAGTAAGTTTTAACTTTTTTAAAGGGCCATATTACTATTTAAGATTAGTCTTAAAAAAAAATTATTTTGTTGATCTGATGTTTGATTTTGGTATGAAATATGTTTACTTTGTTCAAGTCAAGCTTATTTTTCAAGTTCAATATTTTAATTAAGTTTCATGCTGCATTAATTAAAAGTAAAAAGTTTAAAATTCTGTTTTATAAATATTGTGCCGAAAATATATAGAAATAGTAGACTTATTCTTAGGTGGTCTAGTCTCATAATTTATTTTCTCAGTATTGTTATTAAGCTCCATATCGTAGATAATATTGATAAAGATCCTTGTTTATATACATTAGAAGACATTACTTATCTCTTTTTCAGATCTAATTAGAAATCAAAGCAGCTATTATGATATTATGAAGTGCTATGGATTGTTTTAATCCAGCCTCTACGAGGTAGAGGCTGGATTAAAGCAATCTCTCCAGGCTCTTTTGAAAGCTGGTTTTCCAGAAGAAACTATATAATTTTTTTTCATTACATTAGTTTTCTATTACATTTTTTTTTTTATTATTTTTTCATTACATTTTTTTCATTACATTAGTTTTCTCATCTTTTTGAGTAATTGTATTGTAAACATTGAAAACATAGTTGGACCTTCTCTTGTAAACATAGTTGGACCTGCATTGTAAACATAGTTGGACCTGCTCTAGCAGCCAACCTTCAACCTCTGTCACATCGTCGTAATGTTGCTTCTCTTTCTCTTTTCTACAAATACTATATACTAGAAAGAGCTAACGTCTCTCGTGCCATCTACTAAAATTCATTCTCGTGTTACTCGTCATTCAATTAAGTCTCATCCATTTTCTGTTACTGTTCCTAAGTGCTCCAAAAACTCTTTTTCGTCTAGTTTTTTTCCTCGAACATCAGTTCTTTGGAATTCGCTTCCTTCATCTTGCTTTCCTGATTCATATAATTTGCAATCTGTCAATTGTTATTTTGCTCTACAATCTTCATCTTTTCTCCTCCAGTAACTTCCATCACTAATTAGTGGTTGCTTGCAGTCTTGTTGGAAGCGAAGATAATTAAAAAAAAAAATTGATGACATAGCAACTGGATGAAATTTTATAATTCTTGTTAAAAAATTAATAAGTGAATAAATTTTCTAACAAAACACACAAACATCATAATGTTTTTTGCTGTAAAGTTTTTGATTTTTTTTGTCTACAATAATGCGCGCGCATGTTTTTCTGAAAACGAGAATGTAAACATTCGCAAGTCATCAATTACTCAGCGTTTTTGAAGTAAATTCCTTAGCTTTACGTAAATAAAAATTTGAGTGAGTTTCCTAAAAGTTTTCTTCACTTAAAGCTGAACAATTAATCCAAAAACGCTGAGTAAAAGTAATCACTTTTTTTTATTCACCCGGCCAACGTCTAACTATTTTTGATAAATGCATTACCAAAGCCTTTTTTAAAAAAGGACAGAAAATTGCCACTTTGTTGATTTTTCAGTAACAATAACATTTTTCAAACGCCCTGCGTCCCCACCAAACTTTTTAATAACAAAAAAATTGTTCACGTCTCTTCTAATATCTGCGTACATAAAAAAAAGTATTGCGCACGCTCCCATATCCAAAATTAAAAAGTACGACCCACCCTCACAAGCACAATCAATGATTATAACTTCAAACTAGTAGGAGTATAAATAGAGATAAAAAAAGATGTAGTAATAAAATCATTTGGCCGGATTGGAACGGATTCTTTATAATGGTTGATGCATTTCCCACTGATCTCAAAATATAACATAGTTAAATATAATAAAGTTATATTAAATATAATATAGTTATAAATATAATATAGTTATATTTTGAGATCATATTTTGAGATTATATTTTCGCGTCACGGTAAGGAAGGAGGCGTGAACTTCCTGGTTAAATTTTCTTCAAGAAAATTTAACCAGGAAGTTTAAGACCTTTAGGTCTTCTTGGGGCACCTAAAAAAAATTACAAAAAAAAAAAAAAAAAAAAATCAGTGATGTTTGCATACCGCAAAGTCAGGTGGCGTCTTTAGGAATAATTATTTTTCCTACCACAAGGTTTAATTTTTTAACTCGGAAAAAAATTATTTTGGGACACTAAAGAAAACAAGAAAGAGCACATAAAAAAGGTCTTTTTAAATATAAATTTTAATTCTAATTCGGCACACGAACACCTATAAAAACCTTGGAACATTTTATACCACTTTATTAAAGTCATCCTCAAAAGGCAACATTCTTCATTTCTAGTAACTTTTGGGTAACTCAGAGATCTATCCTTGGTCCTGTTTGATTCTTATCTATATTAATGGTATTCCTGATTACCTTACATCTAAAGTGGCTTAATTTGCCGATAACTTCAATTTATACGCCTGTCTTGACAAAAAGTCTTCTCTTTTTGATTGGTTAGAACAGGCAGCCAATCTTGAATCTGATCTCACTTCTGCATTAGGTTGGGGCCTGCAGTAACTTTCTATATTGACGAATGGGTGCCCTCCCTCTGAGTCCTCTTCTTCACATCTGATTGAATAATCGTTCACTACTGACCTCTCAGAGAAACCGTATATAAAATCGGTTGCTAAGTTAACATCTTTTAAAGTTGCTTCTCTTTATCGTGCTTGCCATTTTTTTATTCTTCTGATTCCATTCTTTACCTCTAAAAATCCTTATTTGTTTTATTAGAACTCTCTTTCATTTTCATGTTATCCTGATTCATACAACCTACAACTTTTTAAGTTGTAGGTTTACAAGTCATCTGTCACTCGTTTTCTTGCTCTTTAACTTGTTTTGTAACTTGTTTTATTTTCTTGTAACTTCTCACTTAACAGTGGCTGGTTGCAGCCTTGCTGCAAGTAAATCTGAACAAAAAAAACATATTTCATTGTTGCAGTGTTTCTTTATATTATATTGAAACACTAATATGGTGCTCAAATAAGCTCTCGACGTTTCAGCACTGATTGTTCTTTTATGCAAAACTTTGACTAATTTTTTTTTCTTTAAAAGTAAACAATAGTTTTTCTTTAAAAGTAAACAATAGAGAGTTCTCTTTTATTGTTGTGTTTTTCTTGATTCATATAAGATTTTAAGAAATTCTTGATTACTGTTTTTTTTGCTCCCTAATTGTTTTCCTCACTTTTGTAATAATTCTTTGTTAAGACAATGTACCTTATACCTTCCGGACAAAAAAAAAGAGTTTTTTTAAGGTTTATTTTCAAAATAACAAATTAATCATAAAATTGTTCAATAGAAAATAAAGAGTAAAGCTTAATCTTTATCTTAAACTTTTGAACTGCTCTAAAGAGCTAGGGTCTTTTGTGCCATCTACTAAAATTCATTTTTGTGTTACTCGTCATTCATTCAAGTCTCATCCCTTTTCTGTGAATATTCTTAAGTGCTCCAAAAACTCTTACTTGTTTAGTTTTTTCTTTTGAAATTCGTACAACACACAAATATACATACATATATACAAAAACTCTTGAACTTTTTTGCATTTTTGAACGCGACGGTTCAAACTGTCTATGATGTAATGACTTCAAATAATCCAACGAAAGTCCGTTCCAAACTTCTTGAATTGCAACCTCTAAATCATTTAAATTGCTTTTTTCATTAACCCACACACACTTTTTAAAGTTATTTTTTTTACTTTAAGCAATTTATTGAAGAATATACTTACTAAATTTGAAATAAAAAAGAATTAATTATTTGGGCGTAATTAATTTAAAAAAAAGCAGTTTTTTTTTGTTAATAGAAACCGTCTTATACACCAAAACTTTGACCTCAATTTACCCGGTCTTTGGGACTGTAAAAATCTGGGATCTTTTGGAAATTGAATTAGTTTTTTTTAGCTCTTCAAAATACTTTTTTCAAAATTTAGTTACTAAATGGGTATAACGGATTTCTTTTTTTAGAACGATTTTTATGCCACAGACGCCGGCCTATAATTACATTAGTAAAAGTCGAATCTAAATTTGTTCAAACCCAATAGTAAATCAATCAATCAAAGTTTACAAAGAACTATAAATAATGAAAGATGATTAAATCGAACAAAAATAGCGAAACAACGGCAACGACGTCTGTCACGGCAGCTGACAGACGTGAAACCGAAAACAAAATTGATTATATTTTATTCAATGATTCGATGTAAATTATTTATGTGGCCAAAAATAAAAGACAAATATTAGAGTATAATTTTGTGGCCGCATCCAGATATGTACAGGGATTACCACTTTATTTAGATAAATCACTGCCTCAACTACTACCTAGGTTTGTTGCTGCTTTGTTTATGTTAATAAACTTTATTATTATTAGTCGTTATTAGGCTGTATATAGTTGACTTATTATATTCATATAACATAAATGTCATTTTAAAATACATAAAAATAACAAAACAACAATCGGTTAAGCAAGTTTTTATATCTTTATATTTTTGATACTTGTAATACAGTATCAGTACAGTTAAAATAACTTCAAAACGTGAAGTTTAAGGAACTAGTTTTTCGTCTAAACATAACGCTTAAGTTGTAAAATATAAAAATGAATGTAAAGCCAAACAATAAGGAAAAAATGCTACTAGTTGCGATTGCGCAACTTCAAACCTTATTTACAAATATTACTTTAGAGCTTAATTATCAATTTCCATTTACAATTCTCAGACCTTTAATGGAACCAAACTGTTGACCATACCATGGATTTGAAGCATATACCTTGACATTTTGAAACGATTTTGAAACTATATTTAAGACATTATTAGTGTTTGTTCCATTTATATACATCCTAAATGAATAAATTCCATCGACTTTTTCATGAGATATTTTAATATCTGACCACGTATTGAGCGGTAACTTGGGTGTTTTAATATAAACACTACTTCCAGACCAAACATGCATTCCTGTGTCATCATAAAAATACATAGCAGGAATCCTACTCTCAGGTCCACCAACAGTCAAATGAATAACACTTCTCCATTCCACCAAATATGAAGTGGGCTTTATCTTGAAAGAAATAGAATATGTTTCTCCCAGTATTGGCAATATTCCAAGAAAATTATCCACCTTCAATACCTCTTCAGTAGAAAAAACAAAATCTAAATAGAAATTAAGCCACACGATTATTCACAAGAAATATTGTTAACAAGAAATATTGTTAACAAAAACGCTTGTACAAACAAACTTCAATATAATATTTTGTTATTAAACAAACCCTACCTTTTGTAACAAGCTCAACATTTGTCAAAGAAACGTTATCTAAATAAAATAGACAACTAAGCTGTATCAAGCATAAAAAATAAACGTATATAGCAAGACTACATAAATAAAAATCTATATCAAGCATGTTGAAATGATCAGTGAGTTTCCACTAGTTCGTTTATCTATTTACGGGAAAAGGAAAAAAAAACACACTATATATATACACACACTATAAAACACACTATATATATAGAATATATATACAAAAACACATATATATATATATATACAAAATACTATATATATATATATATATATATATATATATATATATATATATATATATATATATATATATATATATATATATATATATATATATATATATATATATATATATATACATATATACTATATATATATACAAAAACACACTATATATATAGAGTATGCTTAATTTAAATGTCCATTTTTTTCCGAAGTAAAACTAGTGACATGATTATTGCTGTTTCCATAGAAAAATGAACAAATTGAAATCCACCTTAAAGATTCAACTGTGCAATTCAAAATGCAAAAAAATACAATGCATAGACATAGTATAGACATTATAGATATAACTCTGATGACAATAGCGAAGTCTTAACAATAGAGATTAAAACCAGTAACACCAAAAATATACTTTTGAGTTGCTGTTATCGCCCGCCATCTAGCATCATAAAAAATTTCAATACATTCTTATTTAATACTATTTTGAGAAAAGGTTTAAAGGAAAAAAAAAATGCAACTTTATTACCAAATTATTTAAAAAGTATAAAAAGATTAAAAAAGCTTAAGGAGAAAATTCGATAAAAATCGATAAAAACTTTATCTATAACAAAATTAGATCCAATTTATATTACTATTATTATTATTTTAATGTATCAGTATTATGTCATCGTTTATGACGCTTGAAGTGCTTTTAAAGCCTTAATAATTATTTAAACCGATCTTGAAACTTCTAGGAATATATTAAGACATTCTAGAGAAGCTGTTACGCAAGGTACTTCTAACAGAGCAGCAGAAGCCATCGCTGCTGCTGCTTTAAGACTACATAAGATACTAGCTTTTGATTTTTATTTTATAAAAATCTTTGAAAGTAAAAATACATACTTAGCTTGAATATAATTAAATAAATATCGTCTTTAATGGTCAAACTTTTAATATATATTCTTCATAGTGCTTCGTACTTTTATCAATCTTGTCTTAAACCTGTAAATAAGCTTTTCCTTGGGTAGAAGATAGTAAGAAAAATGCAAATAGACAGACAGTAACCCATGCTATGACAATAAAAAAAAAATCATGATGACGAAGCAAAACCATTTTTTACAAGAGTAAAGTTGCATATTTTAAACCTAAAATGTATTAGATTTAGACTGTGTATTCAGTTTAGATGAAACCAGTAGCGTAGCGACAAAAAATTGGCCCCCCGCAAAAATTTAATCCGGGCCCCTAAATTACTTCTTTTCTATTCCCTCCCCCCCCCCCCACCTTACCTTCACCTTCCTGTGTAAAATATATGTTTTGTATGAATGTTAAATGATACGCATGTTATTTATTGTACTAACACTTTTTTTTAATTTTTTCTTTGTTGCCTTGGGCCCCTAATAACTATGGGCCTCCCCGCGGCTGCGGGCCCTTCGCCACGCTACTGGATGAAACTGGTTTTAATTAAAATTAAAACAAATACAAATTCATTATCAAATAGCATCAGTTTCTACAGCAGGATTGCACTACTATTGGAATGAAAATATCATGGTTACCATAGTTACCATCAATTTATTTGCAAAAAGAAAAAGAACTTGTCTAAGAGCTAAGACTATAAACAGTTTAAATTATAAATTCAAATCATTTGTTAATGACCACGGCAGTCACCGAAATTAAAATCCATCATTGTTAGGCTGTCATAACCATGCATATTACAGGTAAACAAAGCACATGATTTACACTACATATTTAACTTCAAAAGAAAAGCGACTAATTTTACAAGAATTATGAACAAAGTTAAATTTATTGATAATAATAATATATATAATATAAATAATATTTGAGAAGACTATTAATCTGGAATCATCCAAATCTTATAATATATATTATAATATATATATAATATATAAGTCAAAACGTAACAACCAACAAAATTATGTTTTTAAGGTACGCAAAAAATAAAACTCAAATAGATGACTTATTATTTATTTTACTGCCCACAATTAATCAGTTAAAAAATTTCAAGTTAAAAAATTTACTGATCTTAAATTTAAAGAACTTAGCCAATCCATGTGCTTAACTTTATTAATAATGGTTATTCAAAATTATTTCTCCCCAAAAAGCATTAAAAATTTATTTAAAAAACACTATTTTAAATATTGTATATGCCTGATGTGAGGATCTCATTAAAAAATGGGTTCTAAAACAGTTAAGCTTTATTTTTAAAGCAATTTCTGGCTAGATGCCACCAAATGTAACAGCTAAATTATTATTTAAATATTATAATAATAAATATCAAAATAATTTATCAAAGAAGAATTTCAATTTCTTTATAAGTACCTGCTCTTCCATTTATAATTGCAAAATCTTTTATGAAACCATCTTGAGCTTGATATGATTGATCTGAAGCATAAACATAAACATTTTCATAGGACTCTGGCTGAACATTTTCTACTACAAAAACTTTTTCTCCATTCAACTTTATTGTATATACATACGCAATGTATTCTAACTGTTGACTTATTTCAATGTGTGACCACATGTTAGGAGGAATAGGAGTTGTTTTAAAGAAACTGTTAAGATTTCCACTTTGAGGAACAGTGATAGAAAGACTGCCATCAGCACTGTTATGAAACCACACTCCTGGAACTCTATCATCAAATGCATTCGCATCAGAACCAATGTTGAAACGAATAACATTGTGCCAACCTTCAGAATATGAGTTTGGTTTCACATCAAAATAAATTTTATAAGCTTTATCTAAAATTGGAACAAATGCTACCAGTTTGTTTTGAACCAAAGGCGTTTCTTTATCTTCTATCAGTTGCTCTAAAATATTATAAAATGTATTTTAAATGTGTTTTGCTCAAAAATTGTTTATTGTTTGTTATGCATTAACTTTAATTGATTATAACAATAAATAAAAAACAACAACAAAAAAACAACAACTTAAATCAAACATTTAATGGGTCTTATTTTTTAAACAAGTTTGTTCTTGATGTAAATGTTAATAAAGCCAGCTCAAAAATCTTTTAATCAAATAAAAATACTTATAAAAATGCAAAGATTTTAAAATAATAATTCAATACCATAACATATAATAACGAATTTATAAAATCAACCAATAATCTCCTTTTTCTTATTATTGCAGTAAGATCTATTTCAAAAGTATATGCTACCTGCAAACACTTATAAAATCATCACCAAAAATGACTTTTAAAGAAATACTAATTGCAAAATTTATTAAATATCCCTCACACAATGCTGATAATCTGATAATCATCTTTCCTATTTTGTCATAATTTCTTTCCTAAAATATTAACCTGGCTAAAAACCAAAACATTAAACTGAACAGTCCTAAAGTTACAATGCATAACTTTTGCCATATGGTTACCCTATAACCTTTAGGACCAATCAATTTTTCTATCGCTTACATTTTTTAAAATAACATTTACTCCATCAAAATTAAACCATTTGCATTGAACTGATCTTGCAATTAACCAACACAGAATTCATTAACAGAACTGCAAAAACAAACAAATAAACAAACAGGAAATTAAATCTTATGCAAATCAAAATTTACTAATCATGATTATCATTCTCTCCTTATTTAACTTAAACAACTGTTGCGAATAATATACAACTTTATAACACATTAAGTAATATAAAAACTTTATAAAAAACTTAACTAATCTTCATACTTCTCTTGAATGTTTATAAAAACATAATTTTTTGAAATTCTTGAATTCCAAATTTTTAGATTTATGGTGCTCCAAAGTTTCAAAAAAACTTTATCAAAGTGGAAAGTTCATTATATTTAGACAAATTTAAAACAGCACATAACAAGTAAAATGTTATCCTAACTCCAGATTTACTCGTTTCCATACCACACTTATCAAATGACGCAGTAGATATGATTGTAGATAAGACAAATATTATGGTAGAAGACTTGGCTTTGTTGGTATCTGCATTTCTAATAACTTAAACGAATTTGAAAAAATTTATACCAGTTGTTGTAATAATAAAGTAAAACTAATATGGTTAACTGCCCAGCTAACAAACAAAATGTTTGAGCATGTTCGACGATTGCAAACGTTCAAGCACGTTTTAAGAATGTCCCTTTAAAGTTATGGAAAATTGTTTAATCCCAGCTAACAATTAACGTTCAATAAACATTAAACTTTCTGTTCCTTACACAACGCATCTGATAATTATCTTTCCTATTGTGTCATAACTTTTTTTCCTAAAATATTAACATGGCTAAAAGCCATAACTTTAAACTGAACAGTCCTAAAGTTACATTGCCTAACTTTTTTAAAACCAAATATATCAGTTGTTATAATAATAAAGTAAAACAAATATTCTTAACTAATTGGAAGAGAAATTACTTGAATGCAATTATTTTGACCCTAAAACAATAATACTAAAAATAAAAGAGCCAAAGAACTATCAATAATAATATAACCAAAAATACCATAGTGTACTTATAATCTAAAATTTTAACTTTTCAAATGACAGTGTCATAATGTAAATATTATGTAAGATATTAACTTTTCTAAAAACTAAAATATTATAGCTAGGTAAAAGTATATTTTTTTAATAACGAAAATTGCCAGATAATACATTTCTATATGCAGTTTAAGATTGTTTTTTAACTCAGCATTTGGGCTCCAACTTTTCAAGTATAAAATGGCACTTTCACAGAAAATCTTGATTTGATTTTTACTGAATAACATAATCAAGTCTGTAACCTGAGATATAATTTGATGCTTAGAGACTGTGATGAAAGTCATCTAGTACAGACTTGGATGTTAAATTTATCAATATCTTATACTACTATAATATTGCAATTGATGTATTCTGTATTCTGTTAAACAACACCACATTAAATTATAGTCAAACATACATAATGCATAATCTCACTTATTTAATATTATTGTTCTCCTAAACACCAATTTCAACTGATATTTGTTAAAGAATTTGCTGATATAAGTACTTCCATTTTTTTAACTAATGAGTATTGATAAAATATTATTTAAATATAATGAAATATTATAACTTTTAAGCAATGTAGATACAAATATATCTGTTGGTAATGACAAAGTTCACCCAAGAATACTTGAAGAATGCTCATCATCACTAGCTCGTCATCATTGCCATTGTCATGACTAGCCTCACAAATTCTACTAATTTTTAAAGAAACCTTAGCTTCCAGAAAATTGTTGAGTCTATAGAAAAAAGTGAGTGTCATTACTAATTTTGAAAAAAGGTAATATACTTATGTAACAAAACTAAAGACTTATTTCAATGACTTCTATTCTCTGTAGACTTTTTGAATCACATAAGCTCATTATTAGCTCAAAAAATAAGCTCACAGAGCTTCTGAGCGAAAAAGCCATAGTTCAAATTATACCACTGGTAACTTTTTTTTTAAATCTTTCGCGATTTTGTTGAAGTACAAAATAAAACACTTTTGTAGATTTATAGATTATAGGCTGGGAAAATAAAAAAAAATCGCTTTTACTCAGTAACTACGCAGATTTATGTGAACAAAAATTTGAGCAATTTAAATCAAACTTTTATTTGTGTAAAGCTGAACAATTACTCCAAAAACACAGAGTAAAAGCAATTGCTTTTTTTTATTAAGTCGGCCTCATAAGTAAAGGTATTACAAACTATAAAAAACAAAAGAGAGAGAATTTTTTATGAGCCTACAAAAATTTTCAAAGCCTACAATTTCTGAAAACATCAAAACACCAGGAGAAATTTGTTGCACTTATATGTCATGATAAAAATACTCATGTTATTTTAGTTTTACATTTCAAGTTTTCTACAACTAAGTTCAGTTAGTGCAAGAAAAATGGCTCTATAACAAATATATATAGAATATAAAATCTATAGAACTATAAAGTTGTTTTATTTTGCACTTTAAACAACAAAAAAAGTAAGCTGATGATTTGAACCTGCCACGCAGTGACCTTAACTTTATTTTAAAACAGTAAAGAAGTTTAAACAGTATGTTTTTATTAAGGACATAATTGAAAATTCTAATTTTATATTTAAAATAAAATTTTATCAAATTTATTATTTATAAAAATAATAAAAATTTAGAGTTAATAAAAAATTAAAACTATTTAATATTAAAATCATAAGGAAATTTAGAGTTTTACAGCTATTTTACCACGCTCCAGTTAAACCAAGTGCGCAACATTGGCAGAATTTAGAAAATCATCAAAATAGTATTATACTATGCATAATATTAGAAGAGTCAACTTAGACACTATTAACTGATAATGCACAAGGCATTGTAAATGAGCACACTGTAAGTTTTTTGTATTTTTATAGATTATGAATAACCAAAACTGAGGTGTTTTTTTAATTTCAAAATGTAAACTTATGCATACTAAATTGTGTTAATAATATTTTTAAAAACCAATTAATATTTTAAATTACAAGATATAAATAGCGTTTTGTTTTCACCCATTTTTATGTTTTTTTGTTGAGTTGTTGTATGAAAAGCCACCTTGCCCAATTCACCATCTTGCCCTGTTTTCACATATACTTTTATTTATAAATAGTATTTGTTTTTTAATTTTTTTAATCTGTTTTTAAATTTTTTTTAGATTTATCAGATAACATGTTTTTTCAATAGAGACATACAATGGAAAACTATCAAAAACTGTTATGTTTTGTTAATAACTGTGTAAGTAAAATAGTCTTTTATTTTACAAAGCTATTAGGCATTTTTATCTTTGTGAACAAAAGTCTATGCAAGTATCTAACATGCAAACTTCAAGTTATGTTAACTATTAAAAATTATATCAAAATTAACAGGTTTACTTTTAATTGAAAACTCCATTGCGGCAATATCTCCTTAATTTTGATTTATAGCATTTATATGCTTTTTTATAAAGTTTAATACGTTTTTTGTTTATTAAATAGTGTTAAAAGATGATATATAGCATGCAAAAGTTGTTGAAGTGCTTTGCGTGGGTTCAAATCCTTTCACTTTTATACTTGTTATTTTTTAAATCTTTTCCAATTTTCTAGAATACTAATTTTCTAGAATACAATTTTCTAGAATTTTATAGAAAGAGCTAAAATATTTATTTAATATAAACTAAAATATTTATTTGAATGTTAAAGTCCATTTCCACATGTTTTTTGAAACTTTTTATACCAATGATAATTAATTAACACATTTCAAGACTGTATTCTAAATATTATTTACACAGTTACTAATATCCAATCCGTTGATAAATAGTGATTTAAACAACACCTACCAAAATGTTTAAAGTTAAATATAATAGATAATAGATAATATGATAGATAATAGGTAATATAATAGATAATAAATAATTTTAATCTTTTTTCATAGCTTTAGAAAAGTAAACAAAAAGTATAGTTTTTCTTTATGTATATACTTATTTGTTTTTATATACTAAAAAGATTGAAGTAATGAATAAGTAAAGAAAAGGTTGGTGTGGAATAAATTTACAAAGACCTGTATTTCATGAATCTGGACAGCTAGTAACAAATAATTTGATGAATATGCAACAGCATGGATTCTTACCTAAACAATCATGTATAAAAAATTTGTTAGAAACTATTGATCTATCAACTCACATGGAAAACAATAACATGCTAAAGCACTTGTTTTTCGTAAAAAATCTTTATTACATAAAGAAATTATGGCATCAATATTTGTTTTGTACCAAAGATTACACTATTCTTAGAAAGCTAGGAATAGTAAATGGGCAAACTGAGCCAGATTGAAAAAATGTTTTTAGTGGAATTCCACAAGGTTCAGTTTTAGGTCCACTTCTTTTTGTCAAATATATCAATGACTAAGCAAAAAATCACATCTAAACTATTTGCTGATGATACTAAAATCATTGATCAAATTTACAACAATCATTTTATACATGCTCAGGGTGCGACAAATCATTTTTTTTAAAATGAAGATTGAAGTTTGTATCTTTATTTATTGGCGAACATCTAATTTAAGAGATAAATGTCATAAAAAGGAGTTTTATTTTCAAATAATTTTTATTACATATATCAATGTTATTATATATATCAAAGATGCTTATTAAATTTAATCAATTTTTATTTTTTCAAAACAATTTTTCACGCTTTTGCAAAGTGTGCACAAATAAATGATAATTAATATGCAATGATTGTAAATTATTACTCATTGATACTAAATAGTGAATTTTTCTTATTTTAGTTCGCTAAATTTATTTATTAATAAAAAAAAAGAAGACACTTGAAGAAATTAAAATAAAAGGAACTAAAAATAAAAAAAAACTATTTTGAGATTTCTTTTTTAAAACTTAAAAAAATAATATCATTTCCATATTTAATAATAAGTTAATAAAAATATCATACTATTGGTATTTTTTAACGCACATTAAAAAATGAAAACTATAATAAACATAATAACTCTATATATTCTATTAAATTATATATATTTCAGCAAAAAATTAAAAACTTTTTTACAAATTTTTAAAAGTGTTTAAATATGCAAACAAACATTACTTCTCTTTAAGGAATATAAAAAAAATTTAAAAATACACATGCTACTGAAGTAAGCAATCATAATTTTTAAGCATGGTTTATTTAAAAGAAATTGCATTCTAATTAAAATTTTGCATTCTTTTGTTAAGGCATGCAAAAAACACGCTAAAACATAATTACTTCCTTCGTACCTAGTTATTTACTTAAGAGTAGTGCTATTGAAAAAAGTAATTATGTTTTAACATGGTTTGTTTAAAAGTCTTTAAAATGCGTTTTAAATTTTAATATTTGTTTTTTATTGTAAATATGTGTTTTTTAAAATAAATAAAAAACTATCAACGCCATTATTATTTATTAAAAAAATGCTGAAGTAATTTGCTTATTTTAAAAAATTTTAAGCAAATGCCACTGTTTGCATAAGCAAAAGTAAAGAAATGTGACATAACAAATGTTTTTGTGTTGATTTGTCGCACCCTGTAAGCTCATCACAATAAACTTATTATGACATTTGAATGGTTAAAAAAATGGCCTATCAACTTTATTGGTAAAAAGTGTCATGGTATACTTATTGGAAAAAACAATCCAAATCACGATTACTCTATACTCAATTAAAATAAAGACAATATAAAAACTTTAGAAAAGTCAATGTATGAGAATAATAGAGGTATCAATTTCTTGGCTAACCTTAAGTAATAGCAACTTCTGATAAGCTCTGCATCTAAAGTAAATTAGGCGCTTGGTATGTTTAAGAAAACCTTTATTTATATTGAGAAATAGATGTTTAATGATTTTAAACTATAATTGTCTACCATCTTGGATACAGTATTGCTGAACAGCCCTATTACCTTTACTCTTAAAGGAGATACATATATATTGGAATGAGAACATAATTGACTAAGAAAATTTCTTAAAAGCATGGCTTACGAAGAAAGACTCATGAGTTTAAAAAAAAGGTGGCTATATAAAATATTTAAATCCTAAGAATCTTTGAAAGATTGTAAGTCCACTTTCTATAGATGTCTATAGTGTCTATAGATAGAGCATGGGCTTCTAAGCAATGAGCTAAAAGTTATAAATAACCCAAAGTTTGGGCTCAAAATAGCACACCAATAGCATTAAAATGTTGTGCATCATCCATGCACAACATAGCACTGTTAATACTCTGATATTTTACAGGTGTTGATGGAATCAGCCACTCAGAGAACTACTGCAGAGTGAGTCAAGAATGACACAAATTCTCTTTAAACTAAAATCATACAAAAAGTAACCCAAAATACTAAACATAATAAACCAACCCCATCTCCTTACTGTTTTAATATATCATTTAAAAATATTTGTGAGTTTGTAAAGTCTGTGAAGCAACCTTCCATCAGTTGAACCTTACCTTTTGCAAAATTCATCAGACTTGCATGTTCTTAGTGAGAATAATTTAAATTCCAGAATCTGTTTCTTTGAATCTCAGCGTTAATGGGTTTTATCCTTTGATTTGAAAAGACTCCAATAATCACATCCTTGTGAATATACATACGCATCAACTCACCTAGCCAGCATTCGGTCCTAAAAAAACATCTTTTGAACATTCAAAAGACATTCAGAACATCTTTTAAACGTTCATAAGACATCCATTTAGGAATAAATGCCAGCTGGACAAACTTGATTTCACTTGTCAAGAAAGCAAATTTGAATCATTTCTCCATTATTTTTTCAACCTTGCAATAGTCTCTATAAATCTTTCATCTCATACTTCTATTTCAACTTGTGGTTCAGACAAAGTTTCTATCATAGTCTTACAAAATTGTTCTGCAGAACTCTCTTCAATTCTCTCTAAACAATTTAATAAGTGCTTCACTGAGTCTTATTTTCCTGCCTGTTGGAAAATGGCATCTGTAGTTTCAATTTTCAAAAACTTAGGAGAAAATTCTGACCCCTCCAATTATCGTCTGATCAATCTTCTTTCTGTTATAAGCATAGTCTTTGAGTCTTTGATCAAAAAATTTTTCACATCCCATCTTGAGTCAAAAACTTACTGTCAGACAATCAAGATGGCTTTTGATCGTCTCACTCTATGGCTGACTTGCTAATTGCTGTGACTGAAAAATTCTATCATGAAATAGATGGAGGTAAAGAGGCTATTGCTCTTTATACATCTAAAGTTTTCAACAAAGTTTGGCATGCTGGTCTCCATAAGTTTGCTACATTTGGTGTATCTAAAAAAGTTTTTGACATTATAAAATAGTTCTTTCCTAACCTCTTTATCAAAGTCACCCTCAAAGGCCAACACTTTTCTTCATTTTAAGTAACTTCTAGGGTACCTCCAGTTTCTATCCTTGTTCCTATTTTGTTTCTTATCTACAATAATGATCTTCCTAACAACCTTACATCTAAATTAGCTCTTTTTGTGGATGATTTAAGTTTATACTCCTGTCTTGAAAAAAGGTCTTCTTTGTGCAATCACTTAGAACAGGCAGCCTATCTTGAATCTGACCTCACTTCTGTAACAGATTGAAGCTTTTAGTTGCTTGTGAATTTTAACTCCAACTAAACTCAGTTATGTACTGCAAACAACTATCACAAAACTGTCACCATTCCTATATTAATGAATGGCAACCCTCTCACTAAGAACTCTTCTTTATATCTTTTTAAATTATTGTTCACTTTTTGGATTATTGACCCTTCCTGAAAACCATTTATACAATCGATTGTTAAATTTGCATCTTCTAAAGTTGCTTCTCTTTATTGTACTTGTCATTTTCTTAATTCTGATTCCATTCTCAACCTCATCCCTGTATGGAATACTATTGTCATATTTGACTTGTCTCTTCTAGACAAGGTCCAAAAATGCATTGTAAACGTAGTTGGACCCGCTCTATCTGTTTAGCTTGATTCTTTTTCCAATTACAAATTTGCATTGCTTTCTTTTTTATACAAACACTACTATGGTCGCTGCTTAAAGGAGCTATTATCTCTAGTTTCATCAACTAAAACTTATTCTCGCCTTACTCATCATTCTGCAAAGTATCATTCTTTTATTGTATCTGTCCTTGAATGCTCTAAAAACTTTTATTTGTCTAGTTTTTTTACCACACTTTGAGCCTTTGGAACTCTTTCCCACAGCCATGTTTTTCTGACTCTCACAATCTACAACTTTTTAAGTCTTTGTCAACCGTTTTCTAGCTCTATTTTTTCGAATTTTTTTCAAGCAAACTTTAACTTAATAGTGGTTGTTTGCAGCCTGGTTGGGAGTGAATAAGAAAAATTAAAATTAAAAACAACAAATTACAATAATTGCAAAAATATTTTTCAATGCTATCATAAAATGTCTATTTCATTATAAAATTGAAAATATACATTCAAAACATACTTTATTATAATGTGAAAAATGTGTAGAGATAGATTAGTTATGTAACTTACAACATGACATGTGGCACTTTTATTTTGGACAGGGTACACAAAAACCTGGATCCACCACTGATGTGGATTAACAAATTATATTTATATATAATTATATATACTATATATATACAAACTGTAATAAGATACTAATGTAAGAATTAAATATAGATCACATGTTTTTTAAACTGTTTATCATATCAAATGCGTTGATCACATTTTTATTTAGTGTTTATATAATAATCTAACCACAATTATTTTGTTTATAGCAAAACTATTGTGTTACTGTAGGCTTAAACATCGTTAACAGTATTTTCTTTGCATTTTTAAGAAAGAAGATTAGAAGAAGAAAATTAAATTTTCTTTGCAAAATTTAAGAAAGAAGATTAGAAGAAGAATAGAAATAGAAAATTTTTGACCCGTAGGGTATACATACATATATATTAAAACTTATGCATATGTATAAATATATGCATATATGTATTTATATTTGTATAGATATATATTACATTATTAAAAACATTCAATACTACAAAGAGCTTTTGAAAAAGGTAATACTTATCTTACCAACATTTCCATTGAAAATTCTCAGATCTTTAATACTACCAAGTTGTACATTATACCAGGGATCAGCATTATACACTTTAACATTTTTAAATGAATGTGGATCTGTGTTTTCAATGTTTATATTTAACTTTCCATCTACATAAACTCTAAACAAATATATTTTATTAATTCGAACTTGAGATATTCTAATACTGGACCATTCATTCAAGGATAGTGCTTCAAGTGTGATAAACTCTCTATTAGGATTTCCACTGATTGCAGACCAAACAGAGAGCTTTCCTGTGTTATAATAAAAATATACACTAGGAGTTCTAAATCCAAATTCACCGGCGTCTCCTTCGGTAGTCAAATGAATAACATTTTTGTATTCTGATACATACATAGTGGGTTTTATTTTGAAAGAAACTAAATATGTCTTTTCCAAAAATGGCAAAGTTGCAATCAAGTTATCTTTTTTTAATACTTCTTCAGAAGTCACTTCAACAAAATCTATGATGACAAAATGTTTTAGTCAAAAAGTTTATTCTATTTTGATGTTTTATTTAAAACATTTTTTTAAAAATGTTTAGAATATCAGCACCAAAACTACCATTCAAAGAAATTTAATTATAAAATAAATATGTTTACAGCATAGTTTTTAAAAATTACTACAAGCAACTGGTTATGTTACATGAATGCTAATTAGCCTACAACATTATCAAAATAATTACAAAATAAATAAACTTCATTGTTTAGTATATACGTATATCACAACTACAACCAATTACATACTTCATTGAAAAAACTGAACTATGAGAAACACATATAGCTACATATGTTAGTTTCTTTTTATAAAGATTGTTTCATATATTTTTATTATATAATTAACATTTATTAAGAAAACAAATTTAAAATTTTTTTCTAAATATATTATACATATGAGGCGCCTCATAGGAAAAGGTACCAAGTCTTAGTTTCTAGATTTGGAGATACATGCGTTTTAAAAAAAGTATGTTGAAAAATTTGAAACTAAACCTATTCTTTTTTCGAGCAGTTTTATCATTACTTAGCAATAATTTTTGAAATTAATAATCAAAATATACATGTCAAATCTTCAATGTCATTTTTTCGGTAATTTCATTTTTAAAACACTTCCTTAAAAAACTATGTAGAATTTTCAATGATGATGCTATCAAGCTAATTTTTGTTTTACTTTGTGGCTTATTCCTAACTCAATGCATCAATAACTCCGTTTCTCAGACCTGGTACCTTTTCCTGTGAGGCGCCTCATATTTTTTTAATTTCAAAAATATTTTTTATACACATATTCTTTTAAAAGATTTTTTCAAATTGATTTTGTATTATTTAGGAAAACAAAATTAAAAAACTAAAAAACATTAGTATTACATGAAAGTTTTTATTTTGCAATAGTTCTTTAAAAATACTGCAAAATTCTTTGCACCACTTGATGTCTTTTTTTTGATACTTTACTAGTATCAAAAAAAAAAAAGTGTCAAAGTTATTTTAAAATAAAAATATTCAACTATGAATAATGATTAAAATATTTGAGATCAAAGAGATGGTGAACATATCAACCTGAAATTATTATTAATTTGCAACACTCTAACAAACACTAAACACACTAACAAACACTTCCTCTGACACTAAAAAGTTAGTATTTATCAAAAATTGATTATGTTTTTTAGTTTTGAATGTTGAAATTGCTAAAACTCCCCAGAAGTCAAACTTGCACCAATTTAATTACACCTATAGATACCTAAAAGCATTTTGTTGTGGCAATAAATGCAAAAATAACAAAACTGCTAAACCTATTGTTTTTTTGTTTTTCAATTAACTATATATATTCAATTATACCCCAATTTACTACATATATTAAATTATACTCCAATTTATTATATAAATTCAATTATACTTCAATTTACTATAAGATATCAATTAAAAAAATAAATATATAAATAAAAACTATGTATTCCAACCAACCTTTTAAAATCAGCATAACACTTGGTGTTTGATCATCTAAATAAAAAAACATTTTGCATGCTAATGACTCTACAAAAAAATATTTCTAATGTTTCACATGTAGATGAAATGATTATGATTATACTTAAAAAAATATTGCTTTATATGAAAAAAATCTTTACTTCAAAATATCTAATATAGTGTTTAATATATATTCAAGTTTTTTTTATATATATTGATGAGTTGATTTTATAATTAGACTATATAAATGTTTTGCTTTGAAATTGACAGGTAGTCTCCAACAAATTTTGTCAAGTTGTCAAGTTTTCTTTCTATAAAACTATGTATAAAAAATTGACTAAAACCACAAAAGTAATAAAATTTTTTTTTTTCTATGAAACCACTTGCAATAGAGAAAACTTTTTGTTTTAAGATTAAAAATAGCATTTCTTTTTTTTTTAAAAAAAAGAGTGAAAAAAAAAAACCTAACCCTAACCCCTAACCCTGACCCCCAAACCCTCAGTTGATGTAGCAGCACTCTACTGCGAGTCAGGCTATTTGTCAGTCGATGTATGTACTGAAGCCCCCGGCAGCAGGCTATTTGACGTTAGGTGAGTATGACATCATCATGTATATATATATATATATATATATATATATATATATATAATATATATATATATATATATATAAACAAGGGTGTGACATCCGCCCCCTATATTCTAAAAAAGATCTGTTCATATTCTTAAAACTTTTTATTGGTTCTCACAAGCAACTTTGTTTTTTTTTTTTCAAATTTGATTGCATTTAGGGGGAGCATCAGACCCTTGAACACTTACAAGGTTTCTAATATTATATAAAAAAAGGTTGTTCAAAAGTATGTCATGTTGGGTCTCAAAAGAAGCGAAATTATATAAAAATTTTAAAAATAACAAATATTTTATTAAAAAATTATTATTTAACCTTTATATATTATAAAATTTATTTATATATAATATATAATATATAACCTTTATATTTATATAAAATATATAATATATAACCTTTATATATTATAAAAATTATTTAACCTTTATATATTATAAAATTATTATTTAACCTTTTCGGAAAAAAAAAGAGTGAAAAAATGACTTCAAAAAAAGTAATGCTAATAACTAAGCAATTTTTAATAATAAATAAGAAACAGTTAGTAATCTGTACAAAATATACAAGAAATATTTAGAAATTATTTTTTCCTTTAAACTTCAGATTCAAAAATTCAATTTTTCTTGATTTTGTATGAAGTTCGAAGAAAAATTCCTCCATTAGTTTTACAGCACATTCAGCAGTTTGGTTCGATCTGGGAATGTCAATTAATAACTCCTCTATTGACCAATGTATCTTTAAACACTAAATTGCCTTCTTTCATTTTATATTGATGAGTGAGGAAAAGAGTTCATAGAAGGAGGTTTCATTCTAACGTTGTAAATGGAACCAAGACATTGCCCAGAAAAGAAGACATAGTTTTCTTTTAATTTGTCAATGAAGGAATAGTTGAGTTCTAGTTTGTTTGTTGGCTCTTGAATAAGAAAATTCCAACAGTATTTACTGCGATCGTGTCACAGATTATCAAGTTAATATTTATCCAAGCATTGTATTCATCAATTAGCTGATGTAGTTCCTTATGTGTAATGTTTCCTTATGTTCCTTGTAGAGGTGCACTGAGTGTGCCAACAAATAATACAAAATTCTATGGTAAACATTCCTTTAAATACTCTGCATTAATGGAATAGAATCAAATTCAAAATAAATTAAAGTTATTCCCTTTTAACAAAATGAAAAAATATGTCCTCAAAACCAAATTAAAATACTACTTGCTACATCAAGATTAATAGAAACAACAGTAGTATCGCTGGTGATACTACTGTTGATTCTTGTTTCCAGACACCAGCCTGACTAAGAACTGCCACATTATGACCTGTTCAGCAATTGTTGCAAGAACATAATGTGCCTAAAATTTAGAACGTTTAAAATTAATAGTACTAAACTTGGGTTTCACTCTGACATTAACGACCTATTTAAAGTATTTTGAAGAAACATGTACCCATTTTGGGTAAACTTAAACAAGATTAATTCAAATCCTCCACCACAACCAAAAATCAAAGAATCTTTATCTCATTTTAAACTGCCGTATTTTGGAAAAAATATCTGATTCAACTAAAAAAAGACTGAATTCAATTTCAATTCAAATTGCTAAAAGATATTGCAGTTCAGAAAATATTAAATTAGTATTTACCTCACTAAAAATTTCTAAGTTTTTTTCTTCTAAAAAATAAATTTGTATGTGCAGGATGTAATTCCTGTTATATATGCAAAACTATTCGTCATCTCAAGACCCAGTTATCTGAACATTAAAAGAGGGACAAAAAGTCTCACATCTATAAACATCTAAATAATAGCAAATAAATGATAAGTGTTTTTCTGTATTAGATTCAGCATCTAAGAACTTAGAGCTAAAACTTAAAGAAAGTATGTTTATAGAATGGTTAAAACCTGGTATGAATAAACAGAATAACCATGTACAAATGACACTTTCTGTTTAGCTGCTATTTTTTATACATATTGCGTATCTTTTTAACCTATTCTTTAGTTATTTCCAATTTCGTTTGTATAACATGATAAACTTTTTAACTGATTTTATTGTATTTTTATAATTATATTATTATTAATTTGTACAATAATAATTATATTTTGTAATGTTTTTTTTTTTAACAATATTGCAGGTATTTTAACAAATATTTAATTTTTAATAAACTGAAGATGATTAGTATTAGTCAAAACATGTATTGCTTTTTATTAAAAAAATGGTTATAAAAATCAGAAAACTTGTCTTGTTTATATATATATATATATATATATATATATATATATATATATATATATATATATATATATATATATATATATATATATATATATATATATAAGGTGAAATCATCCCCGTAAAAATACGGTCTTTGTATATCTATTCCAAACCGAACTTTTCTATACTTTTTCCATATATATCCTAGCTTTCTGGATCCATAAATTACAGGTCTTTACCAATTTACATATCTATTTCTTGCCGAAAACTTCTATACCGTTTTTTTTTGTTTTTGTTAATTCACCTTCTCAAGGCCGAGAACGCCACTACAGACGAGGAGACTACTTATTTGTGGTTATATAACTCTCTCTCAACTCTATAACTCCGAAACACAAACCTTGACAAACACGGCCGCTGCACGGAGAAATGAGCTGATTCTATTCCTTATTTACTTCCTATTTATTATTTACGACCTATTCCTTATTTACTTCAATATTTTTTAGTAAAACAATTTATTCTGAAAAAAAAATTTAAGAGCAAAAAACTTAACATGCACACCTTTCCGCATATGTAGAGTTTATAACAGGCTTATAACTAGGTTTGTTTTTCTGCTAAATACATTTCATTGATAGCGCAGTGGTTAAATGCTCTGTCATCAGTGTTGTTTTGGAGGGTTTAAAACCTCCTTTTAGCGTAATAAATTTTGAAATTTTTTTAATCTTGCTAATATATTCATAGCAAAAAAATAAGAATATAGAAAAAAAGATTTCTAAAATTTAAAATAAAATTTTCAAGTTTTCTCATTTTATAGATATATAGATATGCGCGATTATTCCATAAAATGCCTGAAAACTCAACATAAAGACGCTTACACTTACATAAATTTGTACGTAACGCTATACAAATAAAATTAAGAAGATCTAAGAGCACTAAACCAAAGTTATAAAAATAAAATTAATTCTTATGATTAAGAACTAAAAGAATATTAAACGCTTATCTAAAAATTTAGTCAAAATGATTTTGGGCATTGACATCAGTTTGTGGCAAAATAAACCTTTATGCGTCAAGTTTCCTTTTGGATTTATCTTACATTTTTTTATTAATTTTTATTATGTTGCATACAAATGCATTAAAATGCATAAAACTGGTACAGATATATCATTTTCACAGATAAGAGATTGTATTTATTACAACAGTAATAAATGAATAATTTTGGGGCCATCCATAAAGGACGTCATCATTTTTTAGCCAATTATTAACTTCTTCCTCCCTCACCCCTTTGTTACCGGTTGACCTTTTCCCCTATAGTCCCTTGAAAAGGACGTCATAAAATCCTGCCTCCCCCTCAAATTGACCCCTCCCCCCAAAAAAAAATTATTTTATCTTGCAATGATGTTTGAATCTGCTGCTACACCTTGAAAAATAAAATTAAAAATATTCTCATACATTATCTTCTTAAAAACACATATTTCATAGTTTTTCATGTTAATTAAACTAAAATCAAAAATCAATAAAGTGGCATCCTTTTCTGACTAACTCCCCCCCCCCCTCTCCTTGTTCTTTTTTGTCCTTTTTATCTCGAGCCCCTCCCCCCTCCCTTGTTTGGATGATGTCCTTTATGGATGGCCACTTTTGTCTTTATTAGAATATATCCATAAAAATGTATTCCATATATCTTTAATAGATAGAGTTTTTATAAAAAATTGAAATAAAATCTTATTTCTATGAATATCATTTTCAAAGGTCTAATATGCAGATGACAAATTTAGAAATCAGAAATTATCGAGAGAGAAGCAAATCTAAAGTTGAAGTTTCAAATTTTCCACTCGGAAGTGACAATATGTGTTTTTTTAATCTTATCAATTTTTTAAAATATAATAACATAACTACAAAAAATCAAAACAAAACAGCTTAAGCAAAAAAGACTTGTAATTATTAAAAAAGTTTACTTATATTACATACAATCCTGATTAAAGCATTATATAAGTGAATTTTTTAAATTTTATAAACAATATATATAAACAAATAGCATATATGTTTATATGTACATTGTTTATATAGAGATGGTTAAGCGCAACAAAGTTTAAAAAAAAATTAGTTTATATTAAAATTAAAAAATAATTTATATAGCGTTTCTTTGCAAAAACCAATGCAGAATAATAAAATTTTTAAGTGCTTTAATAAAATTTTGAACTACAATTACTATATTCACTAAAATAAAGATTTTCACTATAATAAAATTTTTAAGCAATCTTTTTTAATTTTTTTGGTTTAGTTTCTTTTGTTAAGAGCTTTTAAATTTTGCGTCAAATTATCTCATTTTAAAACATTTGTTGTATCATCCATACTGAAACCATTTTTCAAAACGCCTTAAGGTTAAAAATCTCATTTTTGACTTTTTTATAAAATAAGCTAGTTTATATGACTACAAACGTTGTTGAATACATATTTTCAAAGAGTTCTGAAAAAATTCATAAAAATTAATCGTTTCAAAAAATGTTTAACAAAGAGTTAATTTTTAATATTTTCTTTGAAATTGTGTTTTTCTCGAAATAAGTAATAAGCATATTAAGGCGTTTTAAAAAACAACTGCAGCATATATTTATAGTAAAAAAATAAATGTAGCAAAAAAAGCTTTTCATTGTCAAAAGAAAGTTTTAAATTTTACATATATATATATATATATATATATATATATATATATATATATATATATATATATATATATATATATATATATATATATATATATATATATATATATATATATATATATATATATATATATATATATATATATATATATATATATATATATATATATAGTTATTTATTTTATGTACCATTGTAAAGTCAGAACAGTAAAAAAATATACTATTCAAAATAAAAAAAATACACTCTTAACTGTAAACAATAAAAAAAAAAAACATTTTTCTAAACAAAATCAACATTTGTTTGATTGCTAATTAAAGAAAAAAAATCAAAAAAACCCTTAACAACTAAACGATTTTAAAAACTGCATTTTTAAAAGTGTTTGAAACTTATTGATTTAGTTCAGATATTCACACCAAGAGCTCAAAAAACCAAAACAAAACAAAATAACAAAATACTGCAACTGAAAACAATTACAAATTATCCTTAATATGTGTGCGAATGTAATACTTTATTTTAAAATATCATTTTTACATTCAAGAGACAGTTTTCTAAGCCACAATCATTCCAGAACTAAATCTTAATTACCAACTTGTTTTGATTTATTAGCTTGGTTATGAAGTTTTTATAAAAATAGTAGTTAAAAGATTGTGTAATAGAAATCCTTTTCTTGACATATATTAATTAATAAATCTTATTGACATTTATTAGCATAAGATTAGAAATTATTACTTTTGAACTCAATCGCAGTTACTTTCACAAACGTTTTGTTGCAGTATTTTCTGTTTTTATTTAATTCCATTACTTAAACTTTTTCAGGACTACGCAACTGCTATAAATTCACTATACTTGAAAAAAAATTGCTATGAAAATCTTTTATATTTTTTGTATCCTGTGTTCTCTAACAAAGAGAACAGTTCCAATTAATTTAAAGTATAATTGTAAAAGTTTAAAGGTGTGTACTACACACCCTAGTGTATGCACAAAGTACTAGATAATGGCCATAATAAAATAAGAGCCAAAAATATGCTTACTATATAACCATTTACATTGGTAACCAATGTGCAAAGAAAAAGTAGAGAAAAAACAGATTTACTGTTTTACAAAGTAACAATAATAAAAACAAATGAAATGTCATTTAGTTTAGTTTAGTTTAACTAGACAACTAAAGAAAATCTTGTCAGACCTGTGACTTTTATAAACTACCTTAAGTTTTTTTTTAAAAAATAATTGATTATTTGAAAAAATTGAATAACAACTCACCTATTAATCCATTAATAATTTTAAGATCTTTTATTGAGCCATTTTGAACTGTGCACCATGGATCCGACACATAAACTTGAACATTTTCAAAGGTTGTTGGTTGTGTATTTTCTTCTACAAAAACAAAATTTTCATTCAATTTTATTTTATATACAAATTTATCTCCTTCCAACTGTTGACTAATTTCAATGTGTGACCACACATTAAGTGGAACAGACATCGTTGTGAATCCACTATCAAGATCACCATTTATATGAGAAGCAATATAAAGACTACCATCACCACTTTCATGAAACCACACTCCTGGAACTCTATCACCATAATTGCTTGAATCAGATCCAACTGTGAAATGAATAACATTGCGCCAACCTTGTGAAAATGAATTTGGTTTCACATCAAAAAATATTCTATAAGACTTTTCTAATCTTGGAATAACTGCAGCCAGGTTTCGTTGAGACAAAGGTGTTTCTTTGTCTTCTATTATTTGCTCTATTTTAAATTTAAAAAAATTTATTAAAAAAGAAATTTTTTTAAAACATTTTTATTTTAAGTGCTTAGAATTTCAGCTCTCAAATTAAAATTTAAAGAAAATAAAATTATAAATAAAATACTTAACTGCTTATGCTACATTAATGCTAAATGACTTTGTACATATATACATGATTAATAAGCAAATATGTTTACCGAATTTTCAATCAGTTATTACTACATAGAAAATTACTTCTAAATTATATAAAGATACAATGATTGGAAAAAATATTTTTTTTAAATTTAAAAAATTCATTCTATAAAAATAGCTGAAATTTCAAAAATATATTTTATTCATCAACTTATCTTTTCAAAAAAACGTCTGAAATCTATTTTATATTTTTATGACAAACAAAATTAAAAAATTGAAAACATGCAACTAGAAATATCAGATTAATTACTAAGTAAAATGATTTTTTTTTTGAAAACCTCATTTTAAAACTTTTACAACTCTTCTTTACAACTGATTTCTTTGTCATGAATTAATGGTTTTAAAGAATTAATTGTGTCCCATCACCACTTTCATGAAACCACACTCCTGGAACTCTAGCTGCATTTAAACTTTTAGAGTTATGCTTTTTTGTATTGCACTTGGTAAACAATTCATCACCATGCATTTTTTTTCAAAAACAGCTAATGTAATTAAAAAGTAGAATATAACTTTCATATTTAAAGATGTTATTCAACTTTTAAGTTAGATAAAATGTTGAATTTTGATTCTAAATGATGTTAAAGAATAATTTAAAAAAGAATGAGGTTGAAAAGCAGACTCTGATAAGGTGATAAAGAAAAACATATTGATGATTCTTGAGTAGGCTAAAATGATACATAAAATGTTTAAGCAATTTGTAATATTAATCAATCAACTATGTATATCAACTATGTATATCAATTGTAAAACACACAAGTATTTTGAAATCCCGCAACTTTTCATGTTATTAAAAAAATTGTCTACTCCGCTGGAAAAACTGAAAAAAACTGTTTTTAAAAAACATGTTGGACTGAAAAATATATCAAGTGAGTATCATTGAATCAATGATGCACAAATAATACATTTGCCTTTTTTATAACATGTTTTTCAAAAACAGTTCTTTCTAGTTCTTTAAGTTCTTTCAGCAAAATCAACACACTGCTATTAGAGTTTTAGAACTTGCAGTATAATGAAATGTTTTTTGTTAAACTACAGACTTTTTGTAGATGGATTAAATTTTGAAATTAACTTGTATCAAAATAAAATGAAAATATTTATCTATAACTATAAATTAAAGACAAAAGAGTAAACATATCAACCTGATGTTAATGTTAATTTGCAACACTGTAACAAACATATGCCATATGTCTCTCCAAAATTTAAAAGAGAATTATATATAATTGAAAATGTGAGTAACACAGTGACTAACATGTGGTATGGGGACATGCTAACTAACACTAAATTGAATTATGGCACATGTTACATCACTCTTAAATGTGAGTCATGTAATTAAAAATAAAAATTCTTGCTAAGTAATGTTATTTATTTTAAAACATTTGTAGCCAAAATTCTCCTCAAGTCAAACTTGCGCCAATAAAATTAAACTTTTAGGTAGAGTAGAAATTCTCTACCTAAATGCACTTTTTTTTTTAATAACTAATAAAATTGTTAAACCATTGATTATTTTTTGTTTTAATTAATAATACCCCAATTTACTATATGCATTAAATTATACCCCAGTTTAAAACATGATTTCAATTACAAAAATAAAATAAAAATAAAAAACATGCATTCAAACCAACCTTTTAAAATTAGTAAAACACTTGACAATTGATTATCTAAATAAAAAAATATAAGTGTGACAACTAAAGAAAATCTTTTTTTATGAATTTTTTTATTTTGAATGTTTTTTTGCTGTTCTGACTTAATTCTTGTAAAAGAGTTAATTATATATATATATATATATATATATATATATATATATATATATATATATATATATATATATATATATATATATATATATATATATATCTACTATAGTATATTTATATGCGCAATTGCTCACTTTTTTTGCTAGCCTAAATTAAGTGAGCAATTTTAGAAAACGATGAGGGAAAACGAAGAATAATGAATGAAAATGTTGCTGACCCATACCAAACCCTCAGTCGATGTAGCAACACTCCACGGCGAGTCAGGCTATTTGTCAGTCGAGATATGTACTGAAGCCCCCGGCAGCAGGCTATTTGATGTTAGGTGGTTATGACATCATCATGCTCACCTAAGTCAGCAGTATAAGATATATAATTAACTCTTTTACAAGAATTAAGTCAGAACAGCAAAAAAACATTCAAAATAAAATATAAAAAAATGCACTGTTAACTGTAAATAATGAAAAATATATATTTTGTAAAAAAACAAGCAACAATTGTCCATTGGTATGTTTATTTTCAAAAATAAAATCAAACTAATTACATATAAATATAATATAATAGAAAATAAAAAACATATAAAAAAACAAATTAGAAATAAAAAAACACAAAAACACATTTATAAACAAAAAAAATTTAAAAACTCTTGCTTTATTAAGAGAAGTATTTAAGTTTGTTTTATTTAGATCTGATTTTAAGACAGAGAGTTCTAATACCCAGTAAATACTGCACCTATCTTTGATATATTTGCTATTAATTCCACATAATACTTTTAAAAGTAACCACATTATATTAAAAAAGTAAAAGTAACCACATTATATTAAAAGTAACCACATTATATTAAAAAAATTGTTTTTCAAGCTTTTTTTGTACGAGACCTCTTCTTAATTACTAATATCATTTATAAAAGATTAACTCTTGCCTTCATCTGAACCCTAAGTATAAAAATTAATTTTGTTAGAGGGGTGTAAGGAGTATGCTGAAAACTCCAGTCACAGTTCAGGGTTTGGTGCCTAAAATAGGACATGTAAGATAAAAACGCAAAATGAAAAAAAAAATCTAAGATGTGTCTTAAATAAAGTGCTTACAAACTACATGTGCATAGATAGGCACAAGATGCGCGCTTATAAGTACATTTAGTTTCTGTTTATAAGTACATTTAGTTTATTGCATTTGATGTTGAATTTGCAAAGTATTGATGTGTCTTACACAAAAAAATTAATCATAGGAAACTTTAATCTATTAACTTGATTATTAGGAACTTAAAAGTTTTTGTAAAAAAAATAGATAATGTGTTGTGTAACCCCAAGAGCTTAATGTCTATTTTTTGACATATTCCTTAATTAATCTTATTGCCATTTATTAACATCGAATCTAAACCAAATAAAAACATCGATTTAAGGATCAAAACTATTATATTGAACTCAACCACAGTTACTTTAACAAAAGTGAAGTTGCAGTTGTTTCTGTTTTGATGCAATACCTTCACTTAAAGCCTTTAAGGACTATGCAGTTTTCAGGATTATGCAATCGCTAACAATGCACTATGCTTGAAAAAAAACTGTTATGGAAAGTTTAACTTTTGTATCTTGTGTTCTCTAAAAAAGAGAACAGTCCTGATCTATTTAAATAATTTTTAATATTTGAACACTGTCTTGCTGTTAGCCAAATGTTAAAGGTGTTATTAAACACCCTAGTGCATGCACAATGTATTGGATGATGCTCACCAAACCAAAAATTGGTAAACTAAGATGTTTCAAGATAAAGCACAGAGGTCTAGAAACAACATCTTTAGATCCTGCAAAAGTTTTTTTTAAAAAAAAAGATCTTAAGCAAACCTAATTCTATTGACCAAGCTCCTAAGGCTGTGATCTTCAAATCTAAGCATCAGTGCACTGAGGAAACATGTTAATTATAATTTTGTGTTTGCTAATTGACTTATGCAAGGCACAAGTATCTTTTTTTAAACTTATATATAGCTTTAAAACATAAAAAATACTTTTATTTGGTGTTAAATAAAAAGCAACAAGTACATAGTAAATTGCATGTGTTAGAGTTGGCTGATTATGATCTGTATAGTATCCTATATTCTATGAATAAGCTGTAAATGTAAACCTAACAACAGAAATGATAATTATAAGTTTTATACTTACAGACTACTTACTTATAGATTAGCACCTATTTTCTGACACAATTTTTAATAGTATTTAAGTTTTTTTAGGTTAAACGCCATTTTCTTTCTTAATGATTATTTATTTAACTTCAAGGCTTCTTTGACACAGTTTAGGTGTCTTCACTTTCAGATCATCACCGATCTTTAGCTAACATATAGAATGTCACTTGTAAGGTTATCATAAGTAAATTGAAGAATTTTTAATTAAAAACAAGAAAAAACAGTATTATTGTTGTGCAAAGTAACAATAATAAAAATAACTTGAGGTTTGCGTAATTAGAAAACTCAAGAAAACCTTGTCAGACCTGTCTATTTTTTATAAACTACCTTTAGTTTGTTTAAAAGAAATATCTTTTGTTTGTTAAAAGAAATATCTGATTACTTGTCAAAAATTGAATAATAACTCACCAAATAATCCATTATTAATTTTAAGATCTTTTATTGAGCCATTTTGAACTATATACCATGGATCCGACACATAAACTTTAACATTATTAAAGATAGTTGGTTGTGTATTTTCTTCTACAAAAACTATATTTCCATTCAATTTTATTTTATATGCAAATTTATCTTCTTCCAACTGTTGACTAATTTCAATGTGCAACCACTCATTAAGTGGAACAGGCATCGTTGTGAATCCACTATCAAGGTCACCATTTATATGAGAAGCAATATAAAGACTACCATCACCACTTTCATGAAACCACACTCCTGGAACTCTATCACCATAATTGCTTGAATCAGACCCAACTGTGAAATGAATAACGTTGCGCCAACCTTGTGAAAATAAATTTGGTTTCACATCAAAAAATATTCTATAAGACTTTTCTAATCTTGGAATAACTGCAACCAGATTTCCTTGAGACAAGGGTGTTTCTTTGTCTTCTATTATTTGCTCTATTTCAAATTAAAAAAAATATATTGAATAAGAATTTTCTTTTAAACATTTTTTAAAGTGCTTAGAATTTCAGTTTCAACAATAAAATTTAAAGAAAATAAAATTTAAAAAAAATTCATAACTGCTTAAACTAAATTTATGCTAAATGAATTTGTACATACATACTTAATTAATAAATGTACACATATATCTAATTAATAAATGTTTACTGCAATTACAATTAATTATTATATAGTAACTGAGAGTGGAGAGATTTTAATTTGAAAACATTTTTATTTATATATTTTTTTATACTTCTACATTATTTAAACACACAATTATTGAGAATAAATATTTTTTAAAAATTTTAAAAATTCATTTTATAAATATGCTTAAAAAAAAAGTTTTATTCATCTGCGTATTATATGAAAAAAAATTCTAAAACCTATTTTTTTACATAAATAAAAAATTAAAAATAAGCAACTAGAAACTTCATATGGGTTCTAAATGAAATTATTTTTTTTGCAAATCTTATTTTAAAACTCTGTAATATTCTTTACAACTCTTGATGTCTTTGTTATAATTTTTTTTTTTAAATGCTGCACTAAAACCTTTTGAGTTATGCTTTTTTGTATTTCGCTTGCTGAAAAATTCATCACCTTAAATTTGTTTTTTAATCACGGCTTAATTAAAAAGAACTTCATATTTAGAGATATTCAACTTTTAAGTTAGATATAATGTTGAATTTTTATTTAATGTTGAAAATGATATTAAAGAATGATTTAAAATAGAATGAGATTGATAAGAAGACTCAAACAAGGAGATAAAGCAAAATGTTTTGAGGATTATTGAGTAGACTAAAATGATACCTAAAATGTTTAAGCAATTTGTAATTTTGATCAATCAACTTTAATATTATGAATTGTATTTTGAACACAAGTATTTTGAAATCTTTAACTTAACTTTTTATGTTATTATACAGGACGTCTACTTTGCTGGAAAAACTGAAAAAAATTGTTTTTAAAAAGCATGCTGGAAAACCTGAAAAATTTGTCAAGTGAGTTATTTATTTAATGATGGACAAATAATAGATTTTCCAATTTTTTATGCACACTTGCAAAAACTTTCTAGTTCTTCAAGTTTTTCCAGCAGCATTAAAAATTGTTGACAAACAGAATTGACAAATTATTGTATGGTTTGTTAGAAATTTTAAAACTACTGACATTTTGCAGAGGGATCAAATTTTGCAAGTAACTTGTGTCAAAATTAAAATAAAAAAATTCATCTATGACTTCTAATTAAAAAAAAAAAAAAAAGTAAACATCACAACCTGGTGTTAATATTAACCTGCAGCACTGTAACAAAAGTGTGGCTTATGTCTTTCCAAAATTTAAAAGTGAATTATATATTGAAAATGTGAGCAACACTGTGACTATCACATTTCCTTTAGTCAAACTAGCACCAATATAATTAAACATTTATATATAGGAGAAAATTATCTACCTATATGGATTTTTTTTTAGCAATCACAAAATACAAAACTAATGCAACACTTTCTTTTTATTTATTAATACCCTTACTTTATACATTGAATTATACCTTAGTTTGCATTATAATTTTAATAACAAAAAAAAAAAAGAAAAGAAATTAAAATCATGTATTCAAACCAACCTTTTGTAATTAGCACAATACTGGACGTTTGATTATCTAAATAAAAAAATATTTTGGATACTAATGACTATATATAAAAGAAAATTTTAAATGTTTCAGATGGAGATAAAGTGATAATGATATTATAAAAAAAAATTGTTTTATATGCAAAAAGTTTAAACTTTAAGTTTTTGCACCTTGTCTAAAAGAGAAAAGTCATCATTGAAAAATCCACCCAGAAATGGTATCAGTATTCCATACAGGGACAAATTTGAGATTTATAGAGATAAAGAATTTCGAAAGTAAGAAATAATCCTAGAAGATGAAGGGTAGATGACTTATCAAGTACAATACCATTCATAAATATAGGAATATCAAAATTATAGCAACAACAATTGTCTGAAAAAATTGGGTTTTATCTAAATTAAATTTCACCAGCCACATGCTGTGGCAGAAGTGAGGTCCTTTTTTAAATGCCCACTTCAAGCATAAGAAAAAACTTATGAAAAAGACTTAGTCTTTTGATTAATGCCTTAATCAAAAGCATTAGAGCAATAGCCTTAACATCTCCACATCTTATGCACAATAAAGCCCTTTGGTTATTACTGTTAGCAAATCAGCTGTAGAACAAGAAGATGGAAATCCATATTGATAATCAGAAAGTTATTAGAATAAAGATAAAGGATTAAGTGTTTATTAATGAAAAATTCAAAAACCTTGTATAATAGGAAAAAGACTAATGGAATGGTAGTTAGACAAGTCAGATTCTTCTTCAGAATTGTTGAAAATATGGATAACAGAAGCCCCCTTCCAGCAGGATGGAAAACAAAACTCACTTGTTAAATAGTTTTGAAAGTGTAGACAACAGCTCCAGAGAACACTTCTGCAAGACAATAACAGGTTTGTTATCCAGACCAAAAACTATAGAAGAATCTAAGCAGGAAATTACTTTAGATACAGAAGCTGGAATGATATCAATGTCAAGCAATGGACCATCCTGTTTGTTCACTATATCAGGTAGAACAGAGCTAGTAGAATCAAGAGATGATATTGATGAAAAGTTCTTAGCAAACAACTCAGCTTTGTCTTTAGGTGAGGTAACAAAATCTGAACCATACAAGATAGGTGGAATAACAGACTTGCCCTTATTATTGATACTGTCAAAGATTCTCCAGAACTCATGAGAGCCTTTTTTTTAGATGAAACACGAGACCAAACCTTTTTACAATGGTTTCTAGCAATAGTAAACAGACATCTGTTCTGGAGATTTGTTTTGCTGATAGATATGGAAGTTATGGTTTCGATTGGAAATTGAAGCAGCACAGTGTGAGGAAAACCATGGAGAAGAGTGAGGCCTAACTTAGAGTCGTCAAGAGAGAATAAAAAATTCCATGCCAGCCTGAATTTAAGAATTTATGTAAAAAGTATTATAAGTATTGGACAAAACATTTGCAACCAACATCGAACAATGCTAAAAAGTGTTCCTAATTTTACATGTCTTAAAAACGAAACGAACTATAATACCACAGCAAACAGTTCAAGAGTCTGGAGTCATAGCATGTCATGACATGAGCAATCAGCTGACAGGTGACAGCACACAGGCAAAATTTTGTTGACAAGTGCCATTTTGCAGCGGACAAAACAAGTACAACTTTTTTGGTTTGTTTCATTTTCTTAAGTTTGGTCTGTGTCAACATCACAGAAGTTTTTTAATAATTAAAGGAAGTATCCAGAAGTTTCCAGAAGCTTGCAGAAGCTTCCAGAAGTTTCCAGAAGAAGCATCCAGAAGTATCCCGAAACATTCAGAAGAATCTAGACGCATCCAGAAGCTTCCAGAAGCATCGAAAATAAGCATCTAGAATCTTCAGAAAAGGTTTAAACAGATTCATTTTACTATATAAGAGACATGTAAACCGACATAAAATTCAGTCAGTATATGGAAGTCAATCAGTCAGTATTATCAAGACAGTTTATCGAAGTGAATTACCACAGTGTTTTATTAAAGAACATCAATACAAGAAGTGAAATACAACAAGTGATTCATTACATCAATACAGTCCACATCCAACCAAGACGCTGTGTTCCACAGAGCATTATTGTATCATCACAAAGTAAATGTAACATGATAAGCCTTGAGAAGCATGATTATTTATTTTTGTTACTTTTTATGACTTCAAGTGCAAAAATGGCTCCCGACAATTATGGATTGGAACTGAGAAAAAAAATTATTGGCGATTACATAAGTGGAATGTCACAAAAAAGTATTTGTGATAAATATTGTGTGAAAAAATGGACTCCATCAAGACTATGTTCTAAATATCGTTCTACGGGGAAGTTGGAAGCAGATAACAAAGGTGGAAGACCGCGTTACACCACTTCTAGAGAGGATTCTATGATCATCAGTTCCTTCAAAAAGGTTCCCTGGATATCATCAGTTGAGATACAAAAGCAATTAGAACTGCCTGTATCAGACCCAATAATCAGACAACGTGCTGTTGAAGCCAGAATGTTTTCTCAACACCATGCAAAGAAACTGCTGATTTCACTAAAGAACCAGAAGAAAAGACTCCTGTTTGCTACATCTCATATTGACTGGAATGTGCAGAAATGACGAACTGTCCTGTTCAGTGATGAATCAAAGTTCAGCATCATTGGGAGCAATGGCATTTATCATGTACGTTGACTGGCCCGAAAACGCCTCAATTTACATTACTGCCATAAGACCGTGAAGCATGGTGGAGGCAATGTAATGGTCTGGGGGTGTTTTTCTGCTAACGGTCTAGGTCCAATACATCGAAACGATGGAATAATGGACCGTTTTATGTATAAAAATATCCTAAAAGATGTTATATTACCTCATGCTGAATGGAATTTATGCCAATAAAATGGGTTTTTCAGCAAGACATCGGACCGAACAATCAGAAGACGTGCTGTTGAAGCCAGATTGTTTTCTTGACGCCCTGCAAAGAAACCGCTGATTTCACTAAAGAACCAGAAGAAAAAACTCCTGTTTGCTACATCTCATATTGACTGGAATGTGCGGAAATGGCAAAATGTCCTGTTCAATGATGAAATCGAAGTTCAACATCATTGGGAGCAATGGCATTGGGTGTGTACGTCGACCTGCCGGAAAACGCCTTGATCTACGTTACTGCCATAAGACCATGAAGCAAGGTGGAGGCAATGTTATAGCCTGGGGGTGTTTTTCTGCTAACAGTCTAGGTCCAATACATCGAAATGATGGAGTAATGGACCGTTTCATGTATAAAAATATCCTGAAAGACATTATGTTACCTCATGCTGGGGTATGCCAATAAAATGGGCTTTTCAGCAAGACAACGATCCAAAACACACTGCAAAAGTAGTCGAGCAGTAGTTTCAAGACAACCACCTATCCGTGATGAATTGGCCGCCTCAATCTCCGGATCTCAACCCTATCGAGAACCTGTGGGAGATCGTCAACCGCAGAATTAATCGTGAAGGTATTCGTAATAAGAATCAACCGTTTGAACAAATCCAAAAGGGCAGGGCAGCGATTCCATAAAGTTTCATTGATCATCTGATCAAATCTATGCCTCGAAGATGGAAGGCTGTGATCAACAACAAAGGATTCGCCATGAAATATTGAGAGTGAAGTACAGCTTGGTCAACATTTTGTGGAGTTGCACTTGTTTTGTCCAGAAAGAAATCAAATTTTTTTAATACTTTTGATTAACTTATTAATTTTCGTGTACAAATAATGAACTTTGTGTATATATATATATATATATATATATATATATATATATATATATATATATATATATATATATATATCATACCATTTTTAATGTTTTAAGAATTTTTAGCTTTTTTAAAAGCTTTTCATATGTTAAGTGTATAACATCGTTAGATATGTTTGTACATAATCTTTATAAAACTTCACAAGTATTTAAAAATTAAAAAAAAAAAAAAAAGTCAATCGGGGAACCACGGCCTTCTTGTTTAGAAACTCAGCGCGCTAACCACTTGGCTATGCTGGCACGTTGATCATTGAAATTTTAAAACCATATAAAATTTGTTTTTAACTAAAATAAATGCTGTAGATCAAAAATTAAGATGAGGTTTACGCAATACAGTTTTTAAATGAAAGTCAAACTGTAAAACTTGATATATGTTTAAGTATGTTTTAAATTACATAACCTGTTACATTTAACTTATTTAATTTCACAAATAGTTTTTAAAGATTCTTAAAGTTTAAAAAAAAAAGTAGATGAGCCTTGGACTTGAACCACAGCTTTCTTGTTCAGAAGCTCAGCGCGCTAACCACAAGTAGCCATGCTGGCACATTGTTCATCGAAATTTTAAAACTATATAAAAATTGTTTTTAACGGATATAGATGCTTAGGATCAGAAATTAGGTAGAGGTTGATGCATTGCAGTTTTTAACTGAATGTCAAACTTGATATATGTTTAAGTATGTTTAAACATTACATAACATGAAGTTTACGTATGTATGATATAAGTTACACGTTTGTTCACATTTTCTTTTACCTCGGTTGCAATGGCTGCCAAGGGTTTCGTGTCAAATATGCTCCAAGGGACACTAATAATAAAACTATTAAATTCGGAAATAATATATAATGATTGGCTCCTGCCTTCATCTGAACCCTAAGTTTAAAAATTAATTTTTTTAGAGTAGTGTAAAGAGAATGCTGTAAACCTCAGTAACAGTTCAGAGTTTCGTGTCTAAAACACAGCATTTAAGATAAAAATACAAAATGAAAAGAGATGTAAGATGTGCCTTAAATAAAGTGCTGACAAACTACAAGTGCATACAAAAGCACTAGATGTGCGTTTCTAAGTACAGTTATTTTCTGTTTTAAAGGCATTTAGTGTGTTTAATGTTGATTTTGCAAATTGATGAAAATGTGCCTTACACAAAAAATGTAAGCCATGTCATACAATTTCATCTCCAAAAATAACTATAATAAACTTTCAACTCAAAGTATTTATAAAAAAAAGAAATAGAACCTCAAACCTGTCATTACGAACCCCAAAATTTTAAAAAGCTTCGATTATTAGGTATTAAAAAAAAAAAAAGATCCAAAAATTTAGTTAAGGGCCCTCTAAAATTTAAAAAAGGGTCCCTAATTTTGTTGCCTCTTCCCTTACCAGATTAAGGAAGCCATTTGAGCAGCCTAGTAATGGCTCTGCTTTCAAGAAATTTCTTCAATTAAAATATTACAACATTTTCGGGTAATTATTTTTATAAACAATATAGACTTAATAATGTCTTCAGGTAATTATTTTTAAATGCGTCACTTGTTTTTCCCACTGTTAGAATCGTCATTTAGCAACATTTAACTTTAGCTTCCAAACTCGACTAAGAATAAAAAACAAATACTCCAAAAAATTAGTTTTTCAATAAAATTACACATGGGTGACGGGGAGCTATGGTGGCTCAAAAAGTGGGGGACATGGGCATTTTTTTGTGGGCCCTATCTTGACTGAAAATACGCACCATGAACGCCATGGTGCGTATTTTCATTTTTACCCTTTTTTTTCTTACGGGCCCTTAAACATAGCCAGGTCCCGGGGCAATATACCCCCTAACCCCCTCCTCTCTACGTTCATGGGCATGGTGGTCATGTTGTATACTTACACCAGTGAGTATAATATAATTAAAAATATTATTAATAATTAAAAATATAATTTAAAAAAAATAATAATTGGAATGAAAAAAGCGATACCAAAAAACAAGATATATTAAAAAATATATATATATATAATATTGTTTTTAACGCTTATAATATATAACACTGTCAGAATATTCCAGCGTGGTATTATTTGTTATTGTCAGTGGCAATTAGTTTTTATATGTCTGCAAAAATTTTATGATGTTAGTAATAGGTTGAAGAATAAATGAAACTATTTCATAAGTATAGCTTCGAGACTTTAATGGCTTTAATTTTTAAAATGACGTTGCAATTTACAATAAATATATTAAATTGAAAGCATAGTAGATAAAGTAAAGCAAATATTTAAAAATGTGGCCTCATTTTTCTTACCAAAAACTAAAGATAACAATTGTAAATTAGATATTATTTTGAAATGGGAAAAAGAATTTAATTTAAAGTTTGAGTATAATATCGAGTGAAATGATGTTGTAAGATTACGCTGCTTGCTTTGCAAGCAATATGAATCTTGTATTAAAAACATTAAATAATTTTCTATTTTGTGGATTCACCCTGGAACTCTGTCGATTAAAAAAGACAGTGTAAGAAGTCATTGCAACAGTAAACAACATAAGGAAGCACATCTCATTGATTATCGGAGTCGGTTGTGGAAGGTTTTAAAGAATGTATAAAAAAAAACACTATTAAAAAAGGGTTACAAGAAATGGGTGAAAAATATGACTCACTTAAGAAGAAATTCAATACAGTTTACTACTTGGCAAAAAAAGAAAGTCTATTTTCTGATTTCCTTAATTTGCTTGAGCTAATTAAAAAAAACGACTTTGATGTTGGTAATAGTAACTCAACTAATCGAGCTGCAGGTATTTTTACAGATTACATCGGCAAAATTGCTAAAGATTTCTTTAGATATGATTTTATTGAGTCGACATATTATTCAATTTAAGTAATATTTAATATATAATATAATATTTTTATAATTTACATATTTAAGTTTATAAACATAATTATAAACATAACTAAAAAATAATCAAAATAAATCCCAAAATTTAATTGAATTTAGAAAAATTACAAAACTTCAGAAAAGTTTACAAGTATGATCTTCAAAAATCAACAATTTGTAAAACTGTTAAGAATGGTCCAAAAAAAACGCGCAAAAATGGTTAAAACTGTTACAAATGGTCTGAAAAAAAATGCAAAAAAAGACCAGAAACTTTTGAGAAATTTTCAATTTGCAATCACTCAATTCGCCCCTTGCGATCTAAGTATCAAAATTATTATTTTTGAACTTAACCTCAGTTACTTTTACAAAAGTTTTGTTGCAGTATTTTTTTTTGTGCCATTCCTTTACTTGAACTTTTCAGGACTATGTAATCGCTAAAAATGCACTATGCTTGAAAAAAAACTGGTATAGAAAGCTTATCTATTGTATCCTGTGTTCTCTAAAAAAGAGAACAGTCCTATACTATTCAGAGTAATTTTAATATTTAAACGCTTCCTAGCTATTTGCCAAATGTTAAAGATGGTATTACACACCTTAGCACATGCATGATGCGCTGAATGACAATCATCAAGCCAAAAACATGTCCAAAAACTAAGATGTTTCAAGATAAAGTACAAAAGTCTAGGAAAAAGTACTTTAGGTCCTATTAAGACTACTTTTGAAAATTATCTTAAGCAAGACTGCAAAGCCTCTTGAGCAGGCTTGTAAGGTTCTGATTCTCAAATCCAAATATCAGCACACTGAGGAGACATGTTGACGATGAGTGAAATTCAGAACTCCCAAGAGTTGTTAATTAGTAATCTAAATTTATTTATACATAACACAAGTATTTTTTTTTGAATTTATATATAGCTTTGAAATATAAAAAGATAAAATATATTAAATTGGTGTTAAATGAAATGAAAAGTAGCAGGTCTATACTACCGTATCTGTGTTAGAGTAGGCTGAATATGGACTCTATAGGATCCTAGATTTAATTGAAAACCGTACAAGCTATAAATGAAGGCCTAACAATGGAAATGAACTTTTATGAGTTTAATGATTAGAACCCATTTTCTGACACAATTTTTTATTGTATTTAAGTTTTTTTAGGTTCTTCTAGGTTCATTTTGTTTATTTATGATTATTCAATTAACTTCAAGGCTTTTTTGACACAGTTTTAGGTACTTTCATACCATCACGGATATTTAGCTTATATTTTAGAATGTCACTTAAAGGATTATAAATAACTTTAAGAATTTTTTAATTCAAACAAAAAGAGTTATAATTATTAATGCTTCAAAAAATGAACAAAACATGATAAAACCATTTATGTTGGTAATCACTGTGCTTTTAATAACTAAATAGTAACAAGTTTGTTTCAAAAGAAAAGTAAAGAAAACACAGTATTACTGTTTTGCAAAGTAACAATTATAAAAATATCTTGAATATTGTATGTTTAACTTGAAAACTTAAGAAAACCTTGTCAGAGCTGTCTTTTTTATTAACTACCTTAAGTTTGTTTTAAAAAAACAATCTTATTGCTTGTCAAAAAATAAATAACAACTCACCTAATAATCCATTAACAATATTAAGATCCTTTATTGAGCCATTTTGAACTGTGCACCATGGATCTGACACATAAACTTGAACATTATCAAAAGTAATTGGCTGTGTATTTTCTTCTACAAAAACTAAATCTCCATTCAATTTTATTTTGTATACAAACTTATCTCTTTCCAATTGTTGACTGATTTCAATGTGTGACCACTCATTAAGTGAAACAGGCATCGTTGTAAATCCACTATCAAGGTCACCATTTATATGAGAAGCAATATAAAGACTACCATCGCCACTTTCATGAAACCACACTCCTGGAATTCTATCACCATAATTGCTTGAATCAGATCCAACTGTGAAATGAATAACATTGCGCCAACCTTGTGAAAATGAATTTGGTTTCACATCAAAAAATATTCTATAAGACTTTTCTAATCTTGGAATAACTGCAACCAGATTTCCTTGAGACAAGAGTGTTTCTTTGTCTTCTATTATTTGCTCTATTTTAAATTAGATAAGAAAAAAAAATATTAAAAACAAAACTTGAACTATTAAAAAAAATTAAAAAAAAGAAAAGAAAAATTGAAAAAAATAGTAATAAAAATTTTCGTGTTTTCTTCTTGTAAATATAAAAATTTAAACAAATTTTTTTTTTTTAAATGTTGTATAAATACCAACTTGTTGTTAAAAGCCACTAAATACAATAATATTATTATTTTATATTACCGGTCAAATAAAAATCATAAAAACATAGAAAATACCATTATTTCCACTAAATATTCTCAGGTCTTTAATACTAGCAGGTTGCGCTTCATACCAAGGATCTGCACTATACACTTTAACATTTTTAAATGAACGTGGATCTGTGTTATTGATGTCAATCTTTAACTTTCCATCTACATAAACTCTAAAAAAGTACATACTGTTAACTCGAACTTGAGCTACTCTAATGCTGGACCATTGATTCAAGGGTAGTGCTTCAGGTGTGATAAATTCTCTATTAGGATTTCCACTGATTGCAGAACAAACAGAAAGTTTTCCTGTGTCATAAGAAAGGTGTACACTAGGAGTTCTATATCCAAATTCACCCGCGTCTCCTCCAGTAGTCAAATGAATAATGCTCTTGTATTCTGGTGTATACAAAGTGGGTTTTATTTTGAATGACAATAAATATGCTTTTTCGAGGAATGGCAATGTTGCAATTAGATTATCTTTTTTCAATAGAACTTCATGAGCCACTTCAACAAAATCTGTGATGATAAATAAAAATACTTAACTGCTTATGCTACATTAATACTAAATGACTTTATACATATATATTTGACTAGATAATAAATGTTTACTGAATTTTCAATCAATTATCACTACCATGGCCTCTTAAATTACACAGCCTGATTTGTTGCATTTTCTGTAGAAAATTATACTTTACCTGATTGGTTTAGCAGTGGTGAAAATTAAAAATTAACAAACTCTAGTATGTTAGAAAAATTATTAAAAAAAATTGTATATCAAGCAATTGCCTGCTTTTATGAGGGTATGATGTGTTTGCAAAAACATATCAAAGTTGTAAATAATTTGGTAAAGATTGAGAAGGTATTTTTTTTAATTTTTTTAAAAGTATTGGCTTTGATTTTTAGGCTTCATACAATCATAAAAATGAATTCTTATGTTGTGAAATCCTTATCTGAAGTTTGCACTACAAACTTTAGTTTATGGCTGAAAAAAGAAATGAATGTATTAGCTCAACTTACTAATCTGAATATTAAGTTAGAGCTGTTCTTACCGATAACCATTCTACCACTGTTAATAAATTTTCATAGTTTCATTAAGCATATAGACTGGAGATGGAAACTTATTTATTAGTCATTCAATTTATAAAGGAATATTTAAAACATACTTATTATTTGATATATTCTGTTTTATGAAAAAATGTAAGAAACAACTTGTTAAATGCAAAAAATAATTTTCTACTTTCTCATTTGATTTTTTTAGAGACAAAGTTGAAGTGACTGCTTGTTACATTGCAGGAAATTCGATGATGCTTATGAAAAAGATCAATTACTAAAAAGAAAAATTACTAGGTTAATTATTTTGGAACCAACAAACAAGTTGTCAACCTTACATTGGCAATATTTGATGAAACAACTGCAGCTGCAATATTAGGTAATTTATCATTATTTTATAAGCAATTTATCACATTTAACTCATAGCAGAAGAAAAATAGAATTAAAATGTTAAACTTGTTTTATGACATGTGTCATTGTTAATGTAGGGCTATTAAGTATGCTATAACATGGAATGGTAACATTTAAAAAATGAAGTTTTATTGGTTTTATATTTATACATTAGTTGCTATGTTAATTACAATCAGTTTTAAAATTATGGTCAATTCCTTTTTTAGATTTTTTTTTTTGTGAATGGACTCATGCATATAAATCAAATTAAAAGTCCCTCACATATCCATTATCAGGCTGTCAAGTTGTCATTTTATTTATTTTTTTCTGGGTCTTTTTTATTAATTTTTTTTTTTTTTCATTTTTTTGCAAGATTTTGTCATTTTTTCTTTTTAATTTTTTCAATGGAAATTTTTTTGGATTGAGTTAAGGTTTATTTTTATTTCAAGTTTTTGTAATTTAAGTTATTTTTGATAATTTAAATAAATTTTACAACAAATTTCCTAAAACAATCTTTTTTTTTTAATAAGTTTTATTTAAATATTGTAACTTTTTGAATTGTTAGATTGTTTTTATTACTTTTATTGATTGATAAACTGAATTGAGAACTGAATTTTGAATAAAATCTTCAGTATTTGTAAAGTTAATAGTATCTATTTTTAATTTTAAGTATATCAATTATTATATAGATCTATATTAATTATTAGATAGGTCAAAGCCATAATGGTTAAATGGAATGAGGTTTGGCTGGAAAAGCTTGACAAAAATCAATTTAAAATTAAACTATGGCTGAGAAAAAGCTCTGTTATGCTCTGTTATGTAAACTATGTTTTATTGATTTGAAATACAGTTTAGTTGGTTTTCAAGCACTTTATCAGCATTCTACAAAACCTAAACATAAATTTTTTTCTGATATTAGATTTTCAAAAACAGCTTGTCATTTATATGTAGGTTCAAATAAAAACTGAGGGAAAGAAAGTAGTACAATTAGAGTATTCTATAAATGATAAAATTTCCTTTAATGTTTGATGAAACAACTACAGCACAGAAAAAAAAAAAAGGATCTTTTATGTCGTTGTTGGTCAGAAGAAGAGAACCAAGTTGTTACAAAATATTTAACATCCCTGTTCTTTGACAGAGCAAGAAGATGTCAAAGAAATGCTTGCAGATATATATCATAATGAAAGATTTGAATTACCATGGGATCAACTTTTTAATATTTCAGCTGATGGTCCTAAAATTAACCAGGCCATTTGGAAGTTATTAAATGCTGATCTTCATAGCAATGGTTTTAATGGATTATTACTATTTGTAAGTTGCACTTTGTACACAGTGCATAATGCATTTTGAAAAGCAATAATAGTTTTAGGTGAGGACGCATTAGCTTGCATTTGATTCACATGCTTGGTGAAAGGTATGGATTTTATTGGTAATTTTATTGTTAGTTTTATTAAAACTGAAATTGTTTTACATTCATTATTAGCTAATATAAAGTTGTTAGTAAAAGTTAGTCTTTATGCTCAAGTTTGAAATGTGTTTTTTTAATCTTGTAGATTGCTGCAAAATAAAGGATTTCAAAAGATTAGCTGTTTACATTTTCATTGATGATGAAAGATTGTTTCTTTGTTTTACAAATATTAGATAGCCTACTTTTTCTGCTGAACTTAAAAAAGTTTTATTAAAATGAAAAGATACTAAGAAATATTTTTGAAGTATTTTCCAAAACAAAGACTCTGACAAACAAAAAGCGTTGTGTTAGAATTCATAAAACTCTTAAGCAAAAGGAAAATATAATTTTTTAAATTTCTTTTACTAGATACATATTACAGGAATTATGTATTTTAAGAGTTATTTATGTTAATATTGTTTGTTGGATTAGTTATTGAGTGTTTTAATCTTTTTTTAAAAACCAAAAAAGTTATTTATTATTTCTGACTGATGTTGAGTTGACTGACCAAAAGTAAATATATATATATATATATATATATATATATATATATATATATATATATATATATATATATATATATATATATATATATATTGTAAAATATGTACAAAAAAAACTTCTACTTGATTTGCAGGAATTAAAAGATTTGAATCATTTTTCTCAACAAGGAATATGGAAAAATCTCAGTAAAGTTGTTAAGAGTTGTTTAACTATTCTGAATAGAAATGCTAGTGCATAGCTAAGTTTATCAGATAATAAAAATACATTGAATTCAGAGCGAGTACAACTAAATTAAAAAACATTAATGGCTCTAAGAATATCAAAGCAATATGCAAGAAGTTGCATTGGAACATATAATGTTGATTTTCTCTCTAAAGATATTGTTCAAGCAGTGCAAAATGTAACAGAATATATAAAAAAAGAAAAGCTGAGGAAGAAGAAGAAAAAAGAATAAATGATATTTATAAGCAAGAACTTATTGACAGAAAAATAACACAAGGAAATGCTTGAAAAAAATTTCAAAAAAACAACAATAAAAACCTAAAATAAAGATCAAAGGGAATAAAAACTTGAAAATAACAAGAAAATGCAGATCTAAAGTTTTAACTTGCTCAGAGAGTGCTGGATGTTGCAACCAAGTTTATGCAAAGTGCCACCAATAAAGAAGACATAATAGGTATAAAAATTGCCCATGAAATGGTATTTAGTGAAAAAAAAAATCTTGAAAATGCTACAGTGCATAAGAATTAGCAGAGTCAGGAGTAATTATTGGTTTAAAATGAAAAAGTGAAATGGAGAATTTATTTAATTGACTCAAAAAATCAAAGTAGTATTGCAAAAAAATTTGTTATGAACTTCTTTTTTAATTAAAGTTTAATTTTAATTTTAAGTTATTTAGTGTTTTCTCTATTCTGTTAATTCATTTTATATTACTTTTGACATTTTTGATGACTTCTGACTTATTTTGTTTTTAAAAATAGTTATTGAACTTTTCATTTTTTCAATGAACTTTGTAATTTTTTGACATTTTTTTTCATCTTCACCCTCAAAATACTGTTATTTTTTGCTATTTTTTTGTAAAGTTGTTGCTTGACATCCTGCATTTTGTGTAAGTAATGCTTTAAATTTTTAATAATTTAGGAACATGCAAGATTGAGAAAAACAGCACATCAACCATCAAAGAAGCTACAAATAGTGATGAAAAAGTAAAAGTCGAAGTCTGCTATACTCATTACAGGAATAGCTAAGACTTTCATCACACATGGATAACTAAACAACAAGTAGTAACACACAGAAAAATTCTAGATGAAATAAGGTAATTTGTTTCATGTTTTAAATTTAACAAAAAAACTTAATCATGATGTATATTGAGAGACATACCACTAATTTATGTGTGTTTTGGCACAAAACTTTTTATGAAAATATTTATATACATAATATATACCTATATCTTAAATACCTCTAAAAAAAATTGGATAAATAGATTTTTGTTATTGGTTTTATTATTTTTTATTTAATAAGAAAATAAGCAATCTTTTGTTATATTTTCTCACCAATTTGCATTAAATCATAGTTATATATTTTATGGAAATTTTTTGTGTGTTGTTTATGTAACTTTGTTGCGCTGTTTGACTCTCTGAACTATTGTTCATTCTATGCTTTGGATTGCAGTTGTTCAATGCATTTATTAATCATAATTGCAAATTAAATAAATGCATTTAATAATCATTCATAGTTTTGTTTAGTAAAATAAAGCAGGTTATTGTTTTTTTTATATTGTATTTTATCTTTTTCTTATGTCTTTCTTTAATGTTTTACTAAGCAAGTTTATTTATTAAGTTCAAAGTATAACCTAGAAATTACAAAGTTCTAGGTCATTACGATTACTATTGTCATTTTATTTGTTTATTTATACCTTGGTGTTCTGCTAACTAACAGTTTATTTTGCCTAATGTTAAAATATGGATTTAATTTAGTAAATTTTAATAATTTGAAATTTACTTTAATTATCATTAGCTAACAATTTTTTTTAATTTAATTTATAGCAAAAGGTAAGACTATATTCTGGTCGCAGTACAAATTTGTACTGTTAGTTATTATATTTTTGGTAATTTGTGTAATAGTT